CAGGTTTATTTCGTTTTTGCTTTTGATCTTTTACGTATCACTGTTTTTAATTTAATTTTTCTTTTTAGGCACATAAAATAATTGTATGGTTCAGTTCCGCAGTAAAAACTCGAAGTTGAGGTACATTGAGAGACCCCTCCCCTGCCCACTGCCCCTCCCATGTGTGTAGTTAGACATTTGTGTGGAGTTTCCCTTTGCCCCTCTGTGGTTCCTTTTTGTTCCTTTTTGATGCTGGTAGCGCATGCACTGTGAACCTGTTCCTGGAGAGCACTTCCCAACAGGGCACGTGGATTCCTCAGTCTCCCCTGAGGCGGGGAGGCTTCCAGGGACCTGATTTGATCCTGTTGGTGGACAGGTGTCTGCAGAGTTGTTGGGTTTTTTTCAGTTCTTCTGCCCTATCTCTGTAGCAGGAAGCTAGTTCTTCTAGAGTTTCCTAAAATTTCTTATTTCATTTTCCCACTGATAGCCAAACACTCAGTCCTACAAAGTTAATTGGCCTTGGCCAGTTTGGGTTTTGCATGCAGTCACTTTTGGGCAAAAACTGGATTGATTCAGGCTTTTCATCCTCTCCTTCTCCCAGGTTCCAGAACTTACCTGCTTTCTCAGAACTGGGGTGCTGTGTGTGAGTCCATACATCCTCCTCTGGCCTCTCTGGGCTCCACTGCTGTAGAGCTGGCCCTAAAGGGGCCTGGGCAGCCAGAGCTCTGGAATTGGCAGTGGATCTTCCTGAGCCACTGACTCTGCTTTCTTCTAGACATCACTTCAGTGCCCTTCTAGGATGGGTGCTGGGGCCGGGCAGGGTCAGAGTGCTGGCTTAGGTGAGCCCTTGTTGTTCTGGACCCTTTCCTGTGGCTGCCTGCTCAGGCGAGGCCATGATAGGTCCAGGCTGTCTGTGATCCAGCTGCAGCTCTTGAGGCCACACCTGGAGCAAATCAGGAGACCTTCCTACCTGGATTATCCAGCAGCTGCTCTGTTGTACTGAGAAGCTTCTGTTGTCACGTCACCTGCCTGCAGTCCCATCCCTTTCAAGCCTAGGAGGGAGGGGACAGCTCTGGTCCCTTAGGGCTGAATGTGTCTTTGAGCCCCTGCCAACCCTCCATCTCATCTTCTTTCTTCTTTTGGAGGAGACACAACCCTCCTCGCGGTGCTTAGTGCAGTGGACTCTAGGTGCTGTCTTTCCATATTTATACAAAAGACTCTAAAATCAGAAACACCAAAACCAATTAGAAATACCTTTTTTGATCTCTTAAGCTTGCTAACAAAAGCCAGGGCCTCTGAGATTAAAGACAAAATAAAACAATGTATTCAACATTTGTCCTAAGCTGCCTCCACCAGTGCCAGGGTGGTGGAGGTGGGTGGGAAAGGGGCGCCAGGAGGGGCCAGGAGGGTCCTCAGCTTTGCACCTGAGAACAGTTTCCGGAGACTCGTGTGTGATGCTGGGTAAGCTGGAATTGTGTACACCTGTGTGGATGGTTTGAGTCGCCCAGGTTCCCGGAGAGGATTGCTGCCCTAAAGACAACTGCTCTGGATAATTTCTCTAGAATACACAAGCCCTCATCTACTTGTTAGGCCTTGCCACATGACCATGTGCATGTAGATGGTCCGTGCTAGATGACTTTGCCCTTGGTCCTCATGCAGGGATAGGTTCTCCCCACTCACAGCTCGCCCACGCCGGCGCAGTGACGGTCACACTTGAGGCTCCATGGGCGTCTCTTCGGCCTTCATTCCTGTGTGCTGTTTATGCCTCCTTTTCTATGGGACTCCTGTAGAGATGGTAATTGAAGATTCCACCCCAGCCAGCCCCACAGTGATGTTTTTCTGCGGTGGCCATGCCAAGTCTTGGTGTCAAATAGGATAGCTGGGGTCATATGGTGGGCTGTTTGGAGCAGCTACACTGACAGGCCCCTCCTTTGCCTTTTACCCTGAGGGCCCTGCTACCTTCAGATCTGACTGGCCCATTCACTCATGCACACTCGTCCTGTCAGCAATCTTGTCCTGCACACCTGTCCCACCCCAGGGATAGGCTTGTTCTGGACACACAGAGATGACCAGGAGGCCCTGGTACTCACGGGACCCTGGAGAGATGCTGGGGACACAGCTCAGAGCTGAGGTGGGGGCAGGGACACTAGCGGTTGCCCACAGCCCCTGAGTCCACTCACGCACGTGAGATGCAGGGATGACCAGGGCCCCACGTCGCCCTCAGTCCTTGACGTCCAGAGCACAGGTCCTTACAGTTGGGGATTGGCGACCCTCTCAAAACCGTGTGCAAGAAGAGTTCCAGCAGCCAGTGGGCTTTGTGGTTCTTGAGGGCTCCCAGGGGGGTCTTGAGCCCACCTCTGGGACCTCTGGGAAGAAATCCTGATGTGTCAGGGCCATTGTCACAGATTGTGAGTGTTCACGTGGTTTCTAATCTCAGGGAGGGGTGGGAGGTGGTGAGGGCTGGGGTGGAGGAAGCCTGAGTGTGAGGTGTGTCAGCTGCCCCTTCCTGGCTGGCCCCGTGCATTCAGGCCTGCTTCTGGCCATTGGAGATGTTTAGGGGATGTTTGGAAGCAGGCCTGAATGCATGGGGCCTGCTAGGGCAGTGCCAATCGGGCAGTGTCCCAGGAGAGAGTGCAGAGCTGACTGTGGGCCTCAAGGCTCTGGTGAGGATGGCTTGAGAAGGCTGGCCAGCCGTATCCCTGGCTGCCTGAGGGGCCCTGCCTTCAGTTTTTCAGGACAGAGACTGGCGCTGGCAGCCAACCTTGGGGATCCAGTGAATGGGCACTGGAACCAGGCAGCAACCCAGTGTCCCGGTCACTTTTGTGGCCTCTTGGCTGTGCCTTCTCTGGGACAGGACCTGGTCCTTTCTGTGACCACTGACCGTGGTCCCAGGCCCTGTCATTGCAGTGACAATAACCATGGTGCCAGCCACTGCATGGAGACCCTTACCCAGATTGTCGCTGGTCCCCACAGCCAGCCTCCAAGCAGGCATATCCTGACCCCTTTGAAACATCTGGACACCTGGGAAACAGCAGCTGTGGGTCCATGCAGCCTGCCCTTGGGCGGAGTGAACATGAGAACCCACCCACTTCTGAACTCGTGCTCACAGGCCCGTGACACAGGCTCATGTCAGCTTCAGCTCAGCTTGCCGGGGGATGAGGTCAGGCAGGAGGACCCCCTTCCACAGATAAGGAGGCCAGGGTTCTAAGGGTTAAGTAGTTGTCATAGTCATGCGGAGATGGAGGGGATCCAAAGTGGCCAGACCCTGGACGTCTTTGGATTGCCACCTGCCTTTCTGTGACCAGCTGCCTGTCAGCAGGAGGAGCGTGCCGGGCCCTGACAGAACAGACTCAGCCCCTGGGCTTTTCGAGGCTGGCCTCAGTGTCCACTCCACAGACTGAAGTCTCCGGTCACTTCCTCCCCTTGTCTCCCATCCACGTCTTGGAGTGCTGAGGGAGGCTCAGCGGTGGAAGGAGCTGGGCACAGAGCCAACTGCATGCCAAACAGCGCCCCCTTCTCAGATGCTGAGTGGTGGCCAGGGCCATCCCTTAAGGTCCCTTCAGCGCCAGGCCCGAGGGCAGCTCAGGACAGCAGCAGGGTCATCAGCTGTCTGCTCAGCTCTGGGAAGATACTTCTATGGACAAGCCATTCAGCTGCTAGGCCAATCCTTGCTCAGCCTGGAAACGGGGGCTCCCAGTGGTCGGTGTGGCCTGTCCCTGCCCTGACTCACTCTGTGCTGGCCCAGGTTCCTCTTCTGTGAGAATGTAGGGCACAGGTGAGCCCAGGGATCATGAGAGCTGAGAATGCTCATCCCAAATATACTTGTGTTAACTCAGCATTCCAGAGGACCTGTAGGGCCCCAGTCCTTTGTAGGAAACCAAAGGATCACATTAAATAGTGGGGCTGGAGGAATTCTGTGGCCTTATGAGACCATCTCGGGGGACCTCTGAAGTCCTTCCTCATCCAGCACTGTGCTTGTGTGAGGCTGGTTCCTTCATGGGTATCTGCGGAGACTGCGCAGCGCTAAGGCTGGTTGCAGAAGTGGGTCACAGAATCTGCTGTCTGCCCCGGAGACGATGGCACCACAGAGGCTCACAGAAGTGCACTGCAGTACTGTGCTGCTCATGCAGTGTCTTTTGTTTGGGAAATGTCATGATTTTTCATAAAATGTTATATATGTTAACATGCAGTGGATTCACTATTATTTTTAAATGCATTTGTATACAAAAAAATTCTTATTGGTAAATGTCAGTAGCTACAACCCACCTACACAAACGGTTTTTGTTTTTAGTGAGTCCTCAGAGATTTCAAGATATAAAAGGGTCCTGAAATGAAAATGTTTTAGAGCTGCTGTTTTAATGTTGTCCCGGAAATAAACAAAGCAGTTGTGATGATAATCCCAGTTGACACTGATTGATCCAAGTAAGACACTACAGGGTCTTCATACCACTGCACAAATGAGCAGATGGACATTCAGCTTTGACCAACCAGTGCCTTCTGCCTCCTGGGAGTGTGCCCTGTGGGTGGGGAGGTCAGAAGCCCCAGGGACACCCAGATGGGTGAGAAGTCCGCCCTTCCTGGGGGGAAGCAGGTGTCGGGGGGAATCTAGCACTTTCCAGAGGGCTGTCTGTGGTGGTCTGCATGGTGGTTAAGGGAGGTGCCATGGGAATAAAGGGAGTCGGGGAAGATTCCGCATGGAGGAGGCATTCCAGCTACATCTTGAAGGATCACCCTTTAGGGTTGGCTGAGTGAAGCAAACGGGGGGATGGACCACCCAGGGGAAAAAGGCCATGAGCGAGGTATGGGGAAAGGAAGAAGGAGATCGATGCCAGCCTGGTCCCCGCCCTCAAGACTCTGCTGACCACACAAGGGTGTGACCTGGGTGGGAAGGTGATGGCCCTGGTGCAGTGTGTCTTGCTGGTGCTCTGTGGCCACCAGCATCTAGAGGTGGTGGAGCCAGAAGAAGTGCTCGCAGCCGTTTCAGTGCTGTCTCTTACTGTGTGCCTTGCCCTCCCCTGAAGGAGAACCACTGTCGCCGCATCAAGATTCTGGGGGACTGCTACTACTGCGTGTCAGGCCTCACCCAGCCCAAGACTGACCATGCCCACTGCTGTGTGGAGATGGGGCTCGACATGATTGACACCATCACGTAAGTAACCCGAGGGGCTGAGAGGAGCGGCCTGGGGCGTCTGCATGTTGAGTCCTGGAAGCTGAGCCACCTTCTGCCCCACATGGGTTCCCCACTCAGGACCTCACTGTGTCCTGGTGGGTCTGTCTGAGGTTGCAGAGAATGATGGCAGTATCAAGAAGGTGCTGGGTTCAGGAAGCCCGGCCTGTGCCTGAAAGGCTGCTTTCATGATTCCCACCTTTACATTTCGTGTATGACTGTATTTCTTTGTCCACAGGAATCCTGCATATTGTCAGGTATGCATGAGTCATGCAAAAATAAATTAGTTTTTAGCTTAGCCAGATAAGACATTCAGAAAGATTTGGCCCCAATCTAGCTGAATTCTCGATTAAAAGGAAGGTTTGGCCTCAATCTAGCTGAATTCTCTTAAAAGGAAGGAAATGTGTGTGTTTCTCTTCACTCAGTAAGGTGACTGGGTCTCAGGCGCTCTCTGTGTGGGGAGACAGGCTTGGGATCCAGGCAGGTGAGTTTTCGTGGAATGAGTATTACACCTGTGAGGCCAGGCCTGCCCCTTTCTTGGTCAGTGTTATATTGTCATCATCCTTATCAGAGACTGAGATGAAGACACAGATGTTTTTGTCAAGTTAGGGAAGGTGTGGAGCTAGAAAGCTGAGCTAATGTATGGAGTGTGGATCCAAACATGCATCTGAAAATGGGGAGAGGTGGGTATGCTCCAGTGAGATGGGGCCAACAGGGATTGGGGCATAGCATCATACCTAGAGCGAGAAAGTAGAGCATAAGAATTGTGTAGAGAGACGTTGGGTAGCTGTGGGTGAAAGGATGCATAGGCAAACACCCCAGCCAGCGAGGCTGAGAGACGGTGAGACAGCTGGCTCCCTGTGCCGCGTGGCTGCCTCGTGGGCCGCCCCATGTGGTGCTCCTGCAGACAAACAGTGTGGCTGGAAAGAGGCGGTCGGGAGCAGGCCAGCACCTCGGGCATTGCGCCCACTTCTGGCACCTGCGTGTCAGAGACACGTGAGCAAAGGTGAACCCTGGGGGCAGCGGTTCTCCAGCAGGGCTTCATGTCAGTCGCCTGGTGAGAACCAAAGGCCCTGATGGCGGCTCCACCCCAAGAGCCCGAGGGGGCTTGTTTGGAGTGTGATCTGGGACTGAGAGTGGAAAAGCCCCCCAGCTGACCTTAGTATGCAGCCACTCAGAGAGCCGTTGACCTAGAGAACAGCAGCCTGGCTGGAGGAGACGCTAGGCAGAAGCGGGAAGGAAGGAGGACACCTGGCTTGAAGAAGACTTAGAGGTGATGTCGTCTCCTGTTCTCTGAAACAATGGGATGTTGTCACAGCACATCATACATATTGTATGTTGCGTCTTAGATGACATCATACCTCACTTTATACCACATATCACTTGTATATTATGTGTCATGTGTCATATGTTGCATAACATGTTTCATCTAATACGTATCATATATCACATATCACATAATCTACATATCACATATTGTATCATATATCACACATCATATAATTGTCTTTCTTCTTTCATAATAGATCACATCACATCATCATATCACATTATGTGATAGATCACGTGATATCACATCACATATCGTATGCTATTTGTGTGTATATAGATCATATATTATGTCAGATCTGGTTTTGTGTGATCTCCTTGGGGGAAAATGAGGCTCTGTAGGTGGAAGCTCTAAGGAGACAGATGTCTGTCCATTCGCTTAGTAAACATCTGTAAAGCCCCAACTTGGTGCGTGCCGAGCACAGACACAAGCAGAGTTGAGTGATGTGGGCTGACCTGGTTGACCAGGTGGCTCACGGAGTTGAACCGGATGGTCTTGTGCTCCTGAAGGTTGGCGACCCTAGCTGTGCTGACCGGGGTCCTCCTGAGAGGGCTCTGGTGCTTTCTGTTGGCCCCTGGTCTCCTCACCTGGCTGCTTATGCTCCTGTGCTCAGTGATGCCCCATTGGTCACATGAGGGCCTTAAAGGGTGCCATCCTTCCTTCCAGTCCTGTTTCTGCTTGATATGAATGTTGACGGGTGATAAGCTGTTTCTGCAGGCGCGCCTCTTTCTGGCTGCAGCCCAGGAAGCCCAGCATCAGCTCTCTGGTTCTACACCTGGCATGGAGCTGCCTGAAGCTGCAAGCCCACCTGGCTTGCTCCATTTTCTGGTTTACTTGCTCCATAAACCTGTGTTCCCTTGGCCAGCTCACCTGACATTCCAGCCACTGGCTGTCAGTCTGTGAGGTTCTCCAGACTTTGGTGCCCTCAGCTCCATATCTCTGGCCCTGTTACCTGAGACTGGTGTATCCTAGTGCCGGGGGTATCTTCCTGGGCCTTCTCTGGCTTCTGTCTGCTTGGGCTCCTGATTCCCAGAGTGTTCCCAGGGCCTCAGGAATCTCTACACACCAGAGTTCCTGTCACTCAGCTTCTTGGCTCTGGACCAGAAGAAAAGCCAGCGAAGACTGAGCGCAGAAGATACTTTCCAGCCAAACAAACCCTTCTTCCTCCTCAGACTGTCACAGACTCTGGGACCCACCCGTGTGTGCTCTGCATGGCTGGCCTTCTGCTGGGACCATCCTGACATCTGGTGCATCTGCTGCCAGCCACATTGGGCTTTGTGTGTTCCTGCCTTGCACATGCAGGATGGAATTTGTTTATCAACAGGAGGAGCTTGCCCGGGCAGAGGAGGACACTTTACGTAATGTCTTTCTCTTCCTCCTACCTTGGAGTGGAGTGTTTTATTTGAAAGTTTGGAAACATAAGCACTGCTTGGGAAGCACTCAGAACAGGTGAAGTGGCCAGAGCTAACCTTTCCCCTCAGGGCTCCACGCTGGGCCTGGCAGCTGTGCACACTGGCTCTGTTTGCCCCCTGCCACTTCTCAGTAGTGAGGTCTGCACTCTCATCTACATTTTTTCCTGTCTTGAGTCTGCTTCTGTTCCAGAAAGCCCTTCCCATCTTCAAAGGAGTGGGCCATGCCCCAAGACACTAATTTCAGGGGTTGCCCACTGACTTCCTCTTCGGTAGAGCTCTGGGTGGCGGGCCCAGTGCCTGAGTGCCCAGGAAGGAAAGGGGCCTGTGGGTCAGATATGTCCCTTTCCAAGGCCCACAGAGAGATCTGTTCTAGGCTTGGGGAATTCTGAGTGGACAGAGGAAATCCTAAGGCATATAAGGGATGTGTATTAGTCTGTCGTGACACTGTTATCAAGAACTACCTGAGACTGGGTAATTTAAAAAGAAAATAGGTTTAATTGAATCATAGTTCTGCAGGCTCAACAGGAGGCATGGCTGGGAAGGCCTCAGGAAGCTTACAGTCATGGTGGAAGGCAAAGGGAGGCAAGCACGTCTTCTCATGGCAGCAGGAGGGAGAGCGCGAAGGGGGAAGTGCTGCACACTTTTAAACTGGATCTGGTAGAATTCCCTCACTGTCCTGTGAACAGCAAGGGGGAAATCCGCTCCCATCATCCAGTGACTTCCCACCAGGTCCCTTCCCTAACATTGGGAATTGCAACTGGACATGAGATTTGGGTGGGGACATAGAGCCAAATCATATCAGTATGGTTTGGCTGGTTGGAAGATTCCTGAAGCATCTCATGCAGACTCTGTGTTTCCAGAGGAGGCTCTGATAGAGGATGGGGGTTGGGGCTCCACTATCAGCCTCTCTTCAGGCCAGTGCTTTGCTGGTAGCACAAGAAAGAAATTGCTGCAGGTGCAAGCAAGCATGCATCCAGAGCTGGCTCTTGGCTTCTGAGGTTGGAGAAAATCTTTCCCTTGTTGAACAAGTGGGGAATGGTCTTGTTTTTTCACTTTGAAGAATGTTTATTTCTATGAGAAAAACTAATAGACATATTTTCCTTTTCTGATCTCTCAACCTAGGCCCCCCATGCTTAGCGTCTAGTTATTTTTCATGCACATCAATCATTTGGGAAGAGTCTAGGACCCATTTTGCCAAATGCCTGTGAGCCGAGTGAAGCTCCAGTGTGAATCCAGGTGGGGCTGAGAGAGGCCCTCTGAAGTGCAGGGTGGGGCATCTCTTTGTAAAGACAAGGTAAAGAACAGTGGACTTGGAAGTGGGAGCCCAGGGCCTCTACCTTCCTTGGCCACCCAGCTCGGGCAGCCTGGCTCTCTGGGAGCCGTAGCATTGAGAGGCCAGAGCAGTGGGCTGGGGTGTCTCCAAGGCCCCGTGGCTCATGCAGCTGGGCCTGGGCAGTCTGACCCTGCCCCCAGATTACTTGCCCTGACCTCTACTACTAGATCAGATCCACCTCTCTCTCAAACTTGGGCTTTAACTAGGAGCGTGGTAAATGATCTTAAGGAAATGCCCATTAATTTTTATTGGTGTGATTCTTAGTGAATTCTTTAAAAGTGATATACATTCCCTGTTTGGGCCAGGTGGTTTCTGTCTATAGGAGAGATGAAGATGAGGTGAGAAGTATCCTAACTGTCCAGCGAGTTTGGTGACTGGGCTGGTCTTGCTCCTGAAGCGCTGTGTGACCCTGGACATGTCTCTTTTGTCCTGGAGCTTCAGTTTTTCTGTAAAATAGCTGATTCCGCCTCATGACATACTGTCTCTGAGCCCACGGAGCATTGGAAGGATGAGGGTGGCAGAACCAGCCTCCCAGCTGCTGCAGCCAGGCTGACAAGGCCAGGTGCCATGTCCTGAGGTTTGGGACCAGTCCTTGACCTTGAATTTCCAGTGGGGTTTCTGCAGGACTCCCATGATGGCCAGGTTGCAGGGATACAGGCAGCATATCAGTGCCTGTGTCAATCTCTGACCTTCCATGTGATGAGAGGCTCAGTCTGAGGCTTCCCAATGCTCCCTCTCTATATTCCATACTTGGAAGTCATCTGTGATACTCTTGGAGCAGAAGGAAGGGGGCATTTTCTCCTGCTAGTGAAGTCATATGAAGCCTGAACCTCTCCCTGGGGCCTGGCTTGGGGGATACTCAGGTCTGAGTCCCTCTTCCCCACTGGGACATTGCTCTGTGTGAGGTCTGTCCTTATCCACCTTCTTCTGCTCAGAGACCCCTCCCCTCTGACACATACCACCAGCTCTGCTCCCCTCCCAGAGAGGCCCTGAGTATTAGGTCACCCTAGGGAGCTGCTCCTAGCCAGCCAGTTCTGGCCTATCAAAATGGCATTTTATAGGGTTTCCGCCACCTCATCCCCAGCTGCTCTTTCCTGAGTGGGCTGGGGAGCTTCTGATTTCAGGAACCTGCCAGATTACTAGCTCCCATCCCTCAGGGGATGCCTCAGGTTCCTTGAGTCCTTAATTTTCTCTGCAGTAAAATGGAGGAATAGTGTATGCATCTCTGAGTTGTTTTGAGAATTTAATGAGCTCTTGGATTAAATGAGCCTGAATAGAGTGGGTTCTAGCAGCCACTGCGAGTATTGATTCATCAGCTCCCAGAAAGAGGGAGCCAGTGGCTGATTCTGCAAGATTCTGTCTGAAGCGACCTGGTTCTGTGCACCCACAGGGATGTGGATTTGTCTGTCCACTTCATGGAGGTAGCCTTGTCCGTCACAGGTGATAGGCAAACCATGAATCAGATTTTGAACAGGAACTTCATTTTTCCATATGACCACCACGTGTGCAAGTCACCATTTTTGCTAAACAGCCTCAATGCAGATGCCTTGCTGGCAGTGCATATTTTGGTTTACTGCGTGGAATTTAGTTAGAAGTAATTGGCATGTCCCTTTCCTCCCTGACCCACTGTTGAGCTGCTAAGTTCAGCTTCTGTGTGCTGCAGCTGTCAGTAGAACTCAATCATCCCCCAGCCTGCATCCCTGGAGGTCGTGCGAGAAGGGATCCCCGCTGACCTTGTCCGCCTGGCACTTGGGCTGTCTCCAACATTACCTCAGATTTTAACAAGGTGGCTTGTGTCTGAGCCATGGAGGATGCCTCAGTTTCTCAGCACGAAAAAACTTGGAGGATTACTTCCTCTAATTATTGGGCTCTAATTTTCAAAGTAGACCTGTTGATAAATTTACAAATGTATTTTCTGTGGGGGAGGCGATGCCAGTGTGCACACGCCTCTACACCCACCACACATGGTTTTCCCTAACATTTTAGGGGACCTGGAGCTTCTGAGTCTTTATATTCTAGATTGAGAAGCTACATTTTTACAGATGGGAAAACTGAGGCCCAGGAGGGGAAGTGAGGAGCCCAAGTTGAGGTGACGAGCTCGAACCACCTGAGGCCGAAACCATTTACCCCGTCCTTCCCGCCACACAAGGATGGGGGCTTGGAGGCTGCTGCAGGCCTGTGGTGGTATTTCTGGAAATTCTGTCTAGGTGACAGTAAATCGGCCTCTGTAGTATTCTCTCTCCTCTCTTTTTTCCGTTATGTGCATAGCTGTAGCTGCAGTACTTAAAATAATGGCTGACGCTCAATAGATGTTCGTTGAACAAATGAATCAATGTGTGCTTACCTGTCCTTTCACTTCCGAGCTTCAGCGCAGCCATGACTAGGTTTCAGCTCTGCCAGAATTTACTCATGCCAAGGGGCCAACGGTGGCCCCCTCTGCCAGAGATGGGTTGCTTCCTCATTTCCTCCCTGTTGGGGTCTAGCTCAGAGGACCAAGGTCAGGGATGTAAGCGGTGGGCAAGTTCAGACTTTTCCTCTGCATAAAAAACACCTGTGATAAATCAGTGAAACTGAGAGCCCCAATAAAGAAAGAACACAGTACAAATAAAGGCAAGAAGGGCTGTGGAAATTCTGTTCCTTGGAAATGAAGTTAAAGGTTCTGTTGGATTTAGACAAAGCCTGCTTGGGCTTCCCAGGAACGGCGAGGCCGAGAGGAGTCATGAGGCGGACAGTTCTGGATGCATCATTTATTTAGAAGTAACTGTCCAGTTAACTGCAGATCTGATGTTACCAAGAGTTGAGATATTTGAGGCAGAACCAACTGGGAAAGATGGAAGATGGGGAGTGTTGGTAGAATGGGGTGGCGTGAATTTGGTTGGAGGCTGGCCGAGGTGCCACATGCCGGGAGCCTAAAGGTCTGCTTTGGTGAGCTCGAGGGGATCTGGGGATGAAGGTGGGCATGGGTCCCATAAGACCCTGTGCCGTTTACCATTTCATGGCTGCAGAGGTACAAACACTAAAAGTGAACAAAAACATTATTAGTATGTTTAGTTATTTATATTTTCCCATACTCATTTCCCTCTGTGAATTTTGAAAAATAAATTTTTATTTTAGTGTTTGATTTCAGTGCCTCTAAGAAGATTGACAAACAACTGAAAAAGTTAAAATAAAAAGGTATATTCAAAATATGTAAAACTACATAGGTAGTAAAGATATATCAGTAGTCTAACTTCCACGTAGCGTAAATCTGTGGCATGCATACTTCTGAGTTTACTGAGGTTTCTGAATGTGTGCTGGGACTTGTGTATTTCTGAGGTCTGGGCAGCCATCTGCCTTGGAATGGCTGCCGAGGCCTTCATGTCCTATGGTTTTGGGGGACAGGCCCTTGTAAGGATGAAGTGGGTAGTGATGGGCGGCTGGCAGATGTTGGGTGGAGGCTAGGGAAGCAATGGGGTTGTGCCAAGCAGGTGCTCCATGAGCCTTGGCAGGGGCTCCAGAAAGGGGGCCCCAGTGGGAAGTCAGGGTGAAGGTGAACCAGTCACTGGCTTCTTGGGTGGGTGGCACAGCCTTGCCTTGCATGTACTGGGCTGTTACTGACAAATGTGATATACAGTGGCCTTCAGAATGGGACTCCAGGCAGGGTTGAGGGCACAGTGAGGGCTGAGCTGGCTTACTGTCCCCACCTGATGGCCCGCCCCAACTCCTCAAAGCTTTTGTTAGTGTTTTCACCCCTGATGGAATAGAAAGAGGAGGTTGGCCTCTTAAGACCTGAGATGCACTAGGTTTGAGTTTAAATGATTTCAAAGCTTGTCAAAGCAGGAGCTGGGTTTATACATGAGGAAACTAAGACACAGAGATGGGCATTATGTACCCAAAGTTGGCTAGGCTTGCCTGGACTTCCCCAGAAGCCCTCAGTTCCCTTACCACGTGCTCTGCCTCTGTTCCCTTCCCTAATGCCCATTTCCAAACTCTCTTGTCCCCACCCCGGCTCCTGGTGAATGCCCCTCACATCACCAGCCTCATGTCTGGATGTGGCCTCCAGGCCTTGACCATAAGTTTGCACTGAGGCCTAAGGCTGAGTGTGTGTCAGGAAGGGGTGGAATGCTTGGGCTGTGGATGTTTCCAGTGGGTTGTCACCTGCATCTGGCCAGCAAGCAGGCTTGGGTCTCTGCGAGGGAGCAGTGGCCACATGCAGCCCTATGTTTGTCTGAACGACACATTCCACAGTGATGACCAGGTCCATCCACCTGGGATTTGGGGACTGCCCTGGGCGGGGAGAGCCCTCTGGGAGGCCATGAAGGGAACTTATGGGTCTGGTGTGGACACATGTAAGCTGGCTGGGAGCATGGGCCAGAGCCACCCCTCCTTTCTAAGGTCATCAGCCCACAGGTGGGCAGGAAGGCACCGTGTCCACTGACTATGCCAGGAGACCTTCGTGCTCAGGCCACATGCAGCAGGGACAAGGCCCAGCTTCCCTGGTGCTCACAGCCTAGCAGTGCAGACCAAGGTGGCCCCCTGGGTAGATGAAAGGTGGTTCCCAGCCCCACGCTCTGTGCCTGTGTTGCAGGTCCGTGGCTGAAGCCACCGAGGTGGACCTGAACATGCGCGTGGGTCTGCACACGGGCAGGGTCCTCTGTGGTGTCCTGGGCTTGCGCAAGTGGCAGTACGATGTGTGGTCCAATGATGTGACCCTGGCCAATGTCATGGAAGCTGCTGGCCTGCCAGGGTAAGTCCGGGTTGGGGTGGGGAGGGGAGGGAGGTAGGTGGGGGCTGCACACCCCTGGATTAAGTTCTTGGTTCAGGTTCTGGGCCATGCTCGTGAGGGCACTTGTGTGAGTGCTCCTAGAGGAGCCTGCCTGTCCCGGCTGCACCTGCCGATGAGCCTCCCTGTGGTGGGCATCCTACTCAGCCCGGCCGCCAGCTCTGTGCTGGGCCCACCTGAGCCTGGTGCACATCTACAAAAAGCCGTCATGGGACCCGATGGGTGTGGGGACCTCTGCCCATGGCGTGGTGCTGTCCTCATGGCTTATTGTCACTACATCACTTCTCTTTTTGTTGTCCTTTGTTTCATTTTTTCAAATATGCAAATGTAAAGTGCTGGGACTTTAGAGGTCCCCCTCCCCCGCAAGCTCCACGCAGCCATCTAGGAGCTCATGGACATCTGGGTCACAGATGATACCTTCTTTGAGCTCTCCGAGAAGCGTCTTGGGCTATTGACAGCTGTGCTCTGTGGCAGGCTAAGCCTTGTCTTGAGGAAGATTTTCAGTGCACCCCTGTGTCACCCCCGGGCCCTGTATTCTTTTTGTGTGATCTTGCAGTGGCTACCGTAGCAGGCAGCTTCTCCAGAATGCTGGCTGCCCCTTGGTGTGCCCTGGGCTCAGCATACAGCAGGGGCTTCAGTGAGAGCTGGCGGATTCCTCTCCCTTTCGGCTCCTGAAGTTGGGCTATGCAGCCACAGTCTCCATGGCTGAGGGAATGGATGAGGCGTCAGCTGAACACAGGAATGCACAGATTTTGCCTTTCTGGAGACTGTGGAGACTGGAAGTTTCCAGACAGCCTCGGTGACCTTCCTAGTTCAGGGCCAGGCTGATGGGGGCGACAGTGTCCTCAGGTGTCCCCAGGGCCCCTTGGGAGGGGTAGCAAGAAGCAATGGCTGAGGCTTGCTGTGAGCTCCCTGCCTGCCCCAGCCCAACGGGAGCTGCTGATGGGGGCACCCAGGGAGCATCCCAGCAGGGACTGGGCCCGGAGATCTGAGTTGATGGCAGGAATCGGCCCCTCTGGACAAGGCAGCACAGGGACCAGCTGAGGGTGGAGTCAGAGAACCTGCCTGTGCTGCCTTCTGGCCCCTTTGTGGCCTCTCCTCTTCCTGGCCTGGCAGTCGCTCTCTGTCCCTCCCACTCCCCCCCTCTCCCACCTGCCTGCTCCTCTGGGGATCCCGGTGGGGCCGCTGCTGGGAAAGGCCTCCTGAGCTCCCGAGCCCTGTCCTCACCCTCTCCGGACCCCGGCGAGCGAGGCAGCTCTGCCTTCAGCAGCCTCCCATCTGAGCCGGGTTCCCTGCTGTCATCCTCAGCCAGCCTCAGAGTTTAACTATGAATCCCAGGCTGTTACCCTTCGAGGAATTCAAAAGGTTGTGCGGTGAAGTGAAGGACTGGGTTTGCAGGGAATGTTTTTGGAAGCTGGGGAGCCTGCTTCTCGCCCCATAAACCTGCGAACTCAGGCGTGCCCTGCTAAGGAGCAGAGGCTGTGTGTGTTCAGCTTTCTGCTGAGATGGTGCTAACCGTGGGGAATTTTCCTGCCCTCACGGGAAGATTGGGTTGGGGAGGCGTGAACGCCAGGCGCCACGGCGCTTCTCACCACCCTGCTCCCCACCCCACCTCGTGTGTGAACACCATGGCCAGCACTGACTTCCTGCTGCCCGGCGGGGTCTGCCCACTTTTTGTGGTGCCAGACCAGACCGTGGTTGGGGAAGGACTTCCATTTCTCCTCTCTCTTTCTCTTCTTCACATCACTGCCACTTTTTTTTTTCTCGACTTCCCTGATGAATCCTGACATATTCTTTCTCTCCCTTGGTTCCTCTGCTCTCCCTCTGGCCTTGTGTCCCCCACCGCAGCCAGCCCTGTGTCCCCTGCCTCAGCCATCCCTGCTCTGCCCTGCTGGGCATGGTTGCTGATGGCCCTGCTGAGTCTCTGTCTGCCGGGGCCCTCCCACGTGGCCTGGGTGAACTTGCATGGGAGCTCGAATGCTCCCTGTGGAGCCTGCCCTTGGGGCGGGGGAAGCCTCTGCCTGTGCCCCTTCCCGGTGAGGCCCCCAGACTCTGACAGCCGTGGATCCCCACTCATCCCACCTCTGCCTCCTCCTTTTGTAGGAAGGTTCATATAACAAAGACGACCCTAGCGTGCTTGAATGGGGACTACGAGGTAGAACCAGGTTACGGACATGAGAGGAACAGTTTCTTGAAAACTCATAACATCGAAACCTTTTTTATTGTGCCATCCCATCGCCGAAAGGTAGGCCCCGGAGCCCCCCTTATCTGGCTGGTCCTTAGCTGCTGGGCCTGTGCAGAGCTTTATAGATGTGACTGCTTCTGCTTCCTCTCCAAACTCTGTGCCTCTAGGCTGTGAACTTGCTAAGAAGGGGAGGGGTGTCCCCACTGTTATTGTCCTGGGCCTTGCCTCTTAGTGCTGTGGGGAGGGGTCTAGTGAGGGAGCCAGGACCCCTAGTCAGAGATCTGGAGTCATCTCGGGGCAGGCCATTTTGTGTCCTCCTTCCCCTTCCTGGGCCTTCATTGCCTCCCCTGCCAAGTGGGCATGAAACCCTGCAGGGAGGTCAGGGGTGGGGACCACTGTGAACTAAGAGGTGCTGGGCATGCAGGTGAGCTGTTACCATCTTACGTGGGGCATTTGAGGTCATCCTGCCCAGAGAAAAGTGGTTTGGACCTGATCAAGAGTGATCAAGCTGCTTTCAGGCCCCTGCAAGGGATCAGGAACAGATTAGAGTGCAGGGCTTAGGCGAGGGGTTCAAGGCTCAGGTGAGGGTGCAGCACTTAGGTGAGGGGTACAGGGCTCAGGTAAGGGGTGCAGGGCTCAGGTAAGGGGTACAGGGCTCAGGTGAGGTGTTCAGGGCTCAGATGAGGGTTCAGGGCTCAGATGAGGGTTCAGGGCTCAGGTGAAGGGTTCAGGGCTCAGGTGAGGGTTCAGGGCTTAG